CTTTTGATTCTTCTCGAGTCTGTCAGGAAATCAAATTGTTTAATAATATAATCAGCCTATAAAAATAGACTAATCACAGATTTCATCAACATTTGTGGTGTTCCTAGCACTAAATTCTGTAAGATATTCTGTTTTTTCTTGGTAATTAGGAGCAAACAATCACGAATACAGCAAATGTGTTTTCTTTGATCCCAACCAAAGATTGGTTTCTAACCATTTCTATATTGTTGACCGCTCAAACCCCATTATGTCAGCAAATGATGGTTGGTTGCTTTACATTTGGGTCAGATATCAGTTTCTCTCTGTGCAGAGGGTAGTGTTTGGCAAAACATTATGTAATGAAACAGACTTTTCAATAGTCTGGCTGTTCAAGATAATACAACAGGCTTTATCTCGCAGAGAAACAAGTAAAACACCATATAGTGTGTTAGAACCAACACTAGCATAACTGGAAATGACCCTGTGGCCCAGAACTTCCATTTCTGCAAAGCTGGAAAAAAGTAAACAAAAAAACTGCACCTTTACTGCAGTTTCCATGCAAAGATAACACAAGAGGCAGTGATGTAGAGGCATTGTGTTTCTTTCAAGCTCTCATCTGCACACAGAGACTAATGAAACAGTGGGCTTCGGTACACTTCCAATTGTACACTGGTGAAGTTCAACTGAACTACTGGCAGAGTTCTGAACTAGTTAAAATGGCCTCACATGTACAGTATGCACATACAACAAACAAGTTTAGCTCAGCATACAGTATTGATTAGGACATTTAGTAAGTTCTGTCACAAAATTTGAATCAAAAAACTGTTTTGGGGTTTGTGTATTTAGGTTCCGTTCTAAAAATAACAGTATGAACACTAAAAGCCCATGCACACCAACACGTTTTTTGCTTGCGTTTTCCGTTGAAGTTTAACGCCTCATGACTAAATAAATGGCGACAATGTGATCGTGCACACCAACGCGCAAAACGGCAGGCACAAAAGCGTCATATAAAAAAAAAAAAAATGCCTAATGCTCGTTTTTTTTTTTTGCATACTCTTCTGCTTGACGCTAGTGAAAATCGCTTGGGTTTGAATACGGAAAAACGTCTCAAAGCAATGACGATTAATGCAAACGAAAAGTGTCCCGGTGTGTAGGAGCCTTAAGTGGACCTAAACTAGTATAACAAACACAAACTAGAAGATGTTTCCAATAACTTCCTTAAAAAAAGGGATAGTTGACGCAAAATTAGGTTCAGTCATGTTTTACTCACACTTCACTTGTTCCAAAACCATTTTTTTTTTCTGTTCTGAAGAAATTTTGAAGAAACATGTGACCATAGACTTCCATAGTATTTTATTTTTTTTTCTACTATCAAAGTTGGCGGTTACAGTTTTCCATCCATCCATCTAGACTTATATGTATAGACTGTCACCCTCTTTTTTTGTTTCGTTGTATGCAGATGGCATTTAAATACATTTAAGAAAGTATATGTAAGATTTTTTTTTTATATATCTAAACTATCTTTAAAACTAGTAATAAAGAATCTAGGATTTTTATTTGATGAAAATAGAAATTAGACAAATGAATTCAGTAATCATTGCAACGATTACTTTTTAAAAACTTTTCTTTCCCTAAGTGATTTGGAAAAGGTGACCTATACTTATCTATTTATTACTTCCAGTGTACGCTCTGTACTGCTACAACCATGATATAGCAGCAAAGTTTCTTAATTATTACACCAGAATGTGAGTAAAGTTCCTAGCCATATTGGCTTAGAAAACAGCAACCTTTCTTTTTTTTCGTCGATCTGAATAAATGATGGAACTTCAGAAGTGTCAAAATTGAAATAGAAAAGTTATCTAAACTCATTGATCAAAACGCTGAGAGTCTACTCTGATTCAATAAGCTAAGCTAAAAGTGCTCCCATCAAACCAGGCAAGGTCTCCAGCGGTTTTGAAAAGTCATGTTTTTTGAAAACGCTAGCCTTTTCTGCTATATCATTCCTAGGGTACGAGTAAGATTTTATTTACTTTTTAGGACGACAGTATCTCCAGCAGAAAGATCTCCAAAGATGTCATTTTAAATTAATTAAAATAAATCAGTGTCTTTGAAACTAATGAAGACAGCAGAAGTCGATTTATTTAGACCTGACATGTTAACTGCTCTAACATATTTTATATGTTTCTCAAAATAAAATAAATTGTGTTCAAAGGGCAAAAAAAGTTTTAGTTTTTTTACCCAAACATTTAAACATGATATATTTTAGAGCAGTATTTACATTACCATGAAACCATGATATTTTTTATCCATGGTTATCATATCGTCACAATCTTTTACCGGTCCATGCCTTCACCAGACCCAGAGTTTGTCAGACTGGATCTAAAAACACTAAAAATCAACTGCTTAACTGTAGGCCAGTTGAAACAAGAAATCATGTTTTTTTTTTTTTTTTTTTAAAGTTCATTGTTTTTTTAAAGTCAAAATGCTTGCGCATTGATTTTTTTTTTTGTCTAAAACTGACTCAAATAAATTAGTAAAATGTCTATTATCGGTTAATTTTAGTATGATCATTAAATACATAATATTTAGCAAAAAATAAAAATATTATTGTAATACTCATCAGTCATCAACATCGCATATTATCCCATATTGTGCAACCCTACTACTTAGAGCACATAAAAGCTTAACAATACATTGCTACTTCATCAATGTTGTGCAAGTTTAAAAGAATGAATTTCACTAGACAAGTCATTTATATGATCCTTACACAATACTGCTTAGTTAAGAACAACAAATGAAAACACTGTCATTCCCAGCAAAAAAGAAGACCAGCTGCATCATTGTGGAACAAAGATCAGGTTAAAAGGCTTTTCATTCCACAAAACCACCAAATATTACCAGTTTTACTGTAGTAATACTATCTAGAACAGGGGTGTCCAACCCAAATCAGATACACCTGGACCAGCAAATCAAGCTCTTACTAGGTTTTTTAGTAACATCCGAGCAGCTGTGTTGAGGCAAGTTGGAGCTAAAATCTGCAGGACCCCGGCCCACCAGGATCCACTTTGGACACCCCTGATCTAGATCCCCTGGCAGAAATCTGGGATCTAGTCATAAAACTTTAGTGCAATAGTCTCAAACTCAATTCCTGGAGGCTCGCAGGAAAAAAAAAACTGTTCAGAGATGTGGCCGTCCAGGAATCGAGTTTGAGATCTTTGCTTTAACGCATAAGTGTCAAACTCAATTCCTGGAGGGCCAAAGCCCTGCACAGTTTAGTTCCAACCCTGCTTCAACACACTTACCTGTAGGTTTCAAACAAGCCTGAAGGACTCGATTAGTTTGATCAGGTGTGTTTAATTAGGGTTGGAACTAAACTGTGCAGAGCTGCGCCTCTGCACACAGGCACAGAGCTGCACCTCTACACTCAGTTCCTTTTGGAACTGAGTTTGACACCTGTGCTTTAACGTATTATAAACTTATTGAAGAAGGTAAATTAGAAAAGCACAACAATTAACTGCATTTCTGTTAAATATTAGTTATGTGCACTTTTAATACTAAATGTCCTTAGATTTTCATTTGTCATCCCAAATGTAACAAATTTCTGCTACTTTTTATTCAACAATGACGGATATGCACACAGATTTTCCATTTCAGTCGGCCAGCCCCAGGGCTTCAGGTTAATTGTCATCCCATACAAAAATCGCAGTATTTGATGATTTCTTTGAAAAAAAAAACTGTGATCTTTACTGCCTGGTTGAGATACGATATAAAATGGCTATCAGACCAAACAAGAAGCACTGCATTAAATTATATTTTTCTGCACCATGTCTTTGAAATATGTAAATTAATTTTACCCCAGTATATCACATAAAGCTTTCACCGCAAGTTTGAAAAACACTAATTGTGCACATAGCCTATTAACATCTGGATCTCAACTCACACTCTTGCTACAATTAACTACTGTCAATTTTTAATTTATAAGAGACAAAACTTGATTTAATAATAATAATAATTAATTATTATTATTATTATTATTATTATTATTATTATTATTATTACTAAAAATATTATTATTTTTAATACTACTCGTGCAGTATCCAGTCTAGGTCTCAACATTACACAGAATTCAAATGATGAAGTTAAATTTTTTTAAAGGACCATCTCATTGTCAAATAAAATAAACACTAATAAATTTGATTTCTAGATTCCCTGTAACGTATCATTTTCTTTCCCGTGTTGACAAGAAAGTAGGGAGGAACATATTGAACGATCACGCTCTTTAACCATGATTTAAAAAGTTCATTTATGTAGTGAAGAGTTGTATCTAGGGGGAGGGGCATTACATTCAAAAAGCCATTTGATTGGACAAAAAGCGTAAAGATAATGCCACAAACTCAAATTTTGAATTTAGCATTTCTACTGAGATGTTTTCAGAAACATAAAAGCTTCAAACATGTACAAATACACAGCGTAAAAGATTCTTCAAAAGGGGTTTCACGAACAGGAGGTCTTGAAACATTTTAAAATGCCGTTAGCGTAAATGGTAAACAAACGCGACTGCGCTGCCAACACGTGTGTGCGGAAGCTGCTTGACATGAGGAAACAGCGATCAAAGGGCAAAGGAAACATTGCACACTCACTGTTTTAACTGCTAGATTAGGAACAACGAAGCGCATGAGCAGAAATCGCAGGAATACAATCGCGTGTTGTGTTTGTAATGCAGTCATGTGCTTTTGCGGTGTTAAAGGCCTGTTGGTTTTGTCCGATTCGGCCACAGCGCCGCTGTTTTCCGCTCTCCAGCTGTATATCACTGTCCAGCTTTAACAGTACACGTTGCAATAGCCCGCAACACGACAGGAGATATGCACAGTGCTTATACGTTGTTGTGACATTAACAATAAAGGTAGATTTCGTTACCAAGCCTCCCAGGAACAACACATGCACCTGCGCAGCAGCTCGACACACATGCTCAGACAAAGAGTCCCACTGCAACCACACACACAAACACGAGAAACATTTACCTGTGCACGAATCCTATTCCCAATGTAACCGATTTTCCTCAGCTGTGCTTTTCCTGGCAGCCATTATAAGCGCGAGGCCGCCGCACACACTCCTCGACTCTCGCTTTCTCTTTTCTCGCAGCTGTGTGTGTATGTATGTTCGTGAGCGCGTGCCCGTGCGCGCACTTGCATTTTTTGTATGTCGCGTCCGCGTCGAAGATTCCTCAAGCGCGCACACTTTGACTGTCTTATAACATTGGGAAGTGCAGCTAAAGTGAGAAACACCGCCCTCTCTCTTTCTCTAACAACACATCAACCGTATTCTGTCATTCACATCACACTCAGAGCAATTTTACCATGGTAACGGTAGTTACTGCCAAGATACTGCTAGGCCTTTAACAATTATTATAAATATAAAATGTTGTCTCAGTCATGTCATCTCAGAAAGATGACAGTATATCCTCAAGGCTATACTAAATTAAATTATATTACTGCTTTACAAGTGATAAAACGCATGTATGGCATTTGAGTTTTTGGAATAAAAAGATTTGTATTAAAATAATTTGTGTATAATATTCCTTTTAGACAATTTGTGTATAATATTCCATTTTTTGTGCCCCCTCAGTTTTCATAAAAAAGATTAGTGCCGTCAAAACTGAAATTCTGTCATTAATGACTAACAGTCCTGCCAACCTTTAAAAGACAAACATAGAAATTAGATAAAATGAAAAGCAAAAGAAAATTGTGAAATTAAAGCAGTAATCCAGAGATCTGGTAATTGGTTTCATCATTTATCAGCCTGCACTATTAACTAATTAATTATGTATTTATTTATGCCGTGATTTGTGGATTTATTTATTTATTTATTTATTTATTTATTCATTTGCATATTTAATGCGTCAAGCCAGGGTGCAACAGTGCAGGTCTCCAGCCGCCAGATCTTAAACCGAAGTCCTTCTTGTTAAAAAAGCGACCACGCTAACCACTGAGCTTTTATAGAGTCAACACTGCCAATACGATGCCTGGAAGACAGGATTATTGAATCCTTAAAATTCCTGCATAAATAAATATAGAAACAACTGATAGTGTGGACTAATACATAATGAAATAAATTACAACAATGTTGGACAAATAGCAATATATAGAAAAGAAGTCAGAAAGAGGATGTCTGTCAATCTTCAGATGCCAGTCCAAAAAATACAATGCAAAATTGTTTTATCCATTAACCAATGATGGCATAAAGACCATACTCTAATCTTTTCAGTTTAGCATTTTCTTATTCCCCGAACATTGGTGTAATTGATTTCATCATTTATCAGCCTGCTCTATTAACTAATTAATTATGTATTTATTAATGCCGGGATTTGTGGATTTATTCATTTATTTATTTATTAATTCATTTGCGTATTTAATTATTGTTTTATTTATGCAGGGATTTATGGATAGATTAATCAATTTTCTTTCTGGCTTAGTCCGTTTATTAATGAGGGGTCACCACAGCAGAATGAGCCGCCAGCTTAATATCCAGCCACTGTTTTACACAGCGGATGCACTTCCAGCTGCAACCCATCACTAACAAACATATTCACACACCTGTCTTTGGATTTGTGGGGAAACCTACGCAAACATGGGGAGAACATGCAAAGTCCACTTTGCCAATCTTAGGTCAATTTATATAGGTTGTTTTGGTTCAATTTGTAATTTGCCTAGCTGTGCAGAGCCTGGGGAACAAGCAGACTAGCTCCAGCTTGGCCTCCGCTGGTCCAAAGAGGCGCAGACTGTGTTTTATGTTGCCGATAGGGGCGCTGTTTATTCTCGACGATGCGCAACATTTTCAACTGCCGTCTAGACTGCAAACATAGACTCTACACAGCTCTTCGAGCAACGTCCTGTCATTTTCCTTGTTTACATCATTGTTTATTTGTATTTTTAAGCCGCTTTAAAGGGCAAAGTGTGCTTCCCACAATGCATTGCGGTACTGAAAAACCAATCAAGGGCATTGCTGTGTTCCAGACTTTCTGCATGGAATTCATGAAGAGAAGGCCAAATAACACAGTGTACTCGGACGAGGGAGTGTGATGCAGGCATAAAACTTGCCGAATTTCACCTCATGTTGGCCGTTTGATTTACAGGCAATCTGCCTAATCACAACGCCACTATGTTTTCCCCACGCCCGAGGACCATGAAGAGACCCAGGAAAGCAAACGATTAAAGCGGCGGTCACACTGGGCTTTTTCTCCCATAGAGTTCCATTCATGCGCACACGAATGCGTCAGACCGGAAATGCAGGGTCCTGCGTTAAGTTTCACAGGTTGCTGCGTCGCAAAGTTCAAGCTTAGTGAACTCTTAGCTGCGAAATCGCATCACTTGACTGCGTGAGACCAATCGACTCGAGGATCAAAACATGGACACAACCTCTCTGGACAGAAATTTAAAACAATGAGCAATCGCTTGCTTTTTTAAATGTCTTATAAGCTTGTTTAATCCTTGGGGTAATGCGGAACGAGTAGGCTACAGGATGGGAGGAAAAACTGAAAAAAAAAAGTGCAAATCTGTGATTTTTGTTCGGATACATAGGATCTATTCTCGCTGCTAAACTAGACCAAAACAGTCATTATTTCATCAAAAATATATAATATATTTTTAAAATGTTTATATAAAATATACCGGGATTTGACTGACATGAAAAGTGATCAATTACAGTCGACCTTGTCTAGTTTTGCATGAAACGTAAGGGCGGGAAAAAGGCCTTTCTGTGTTACAGTGGCAGAAAATAACAACTTAAAAGCAACTGTTTTATTGGAATAATGCTTTTCGGGTGTTTTTACTATAAAGATGTATTTACTATAAAGTAATTAAACTGAGATTTTGGGAGGAAGATTTACTTCCTGCCTTTTTGACGATCTACGTTTGGCTCTCTTCTATCCGACTGTGAGTATACTCTCCTCTGACCTGTCACTCTTCTGAAGCCTTGTTTAAAACAGTTTGAATGTCGGTGCGGGAATGCAGGTATTGCACAATTATTGATTTCTGCAAATGTCGAGAGTGCTTTATTTTAACACGGAGCGCAGTCATGTACGCTAATTCTGAATATGCAAGTTCTTGAATAGGCTTTTTCAAATGAAGTGCAAGTCCTCTCATGATCTCATCACCGTGTGTGTGTGCTCAGACTATATACAATCGCGATCTCTTAGAAGTAGAAATCATTTATCTTTGCTCCTTGACTAAACTTAGTCAAAAACTATCAAGTATTTAGAATTAGATCGATGCATGACCGGTGACAATGCTAACTGACTTATTTGGCTGTATTAGCCTACCAGAACTTTTAGCAAAGGTGGAATTTTTTTAAATTTCTTTATGACAAAAGAGTTATGCTTGAAATGTTTTTGGATGAGGTATTTATGTGATTTATAAATAATAGTGGTATTCTGATCTGTCTTAAAGGGGTGGTCCACTACAATATCATATTTTAAACTTTAGTTGATGTGTAATGTAGCTGTGTGAACATAAACAGCATCTCTGAATGTAAAATTCTCAAAGTTCAATGCAAAGGGAGACCTTGATTTTTACAGAGTTAGCTTAGCAAAGCCTACAATGAGCGAATTTTGTGGACTACAAAAAATACTTCCGCCCCCTGTGAATGGTGAATTCTGAACCACGACCTATAAGTGTTTTTATTTGTTAAAATTGATCATGACATGTACAGTGTCTAGCCTCAACAGTAAAGGTGTAAACAACGGGAAATGATGTTTGCCACCACCAGCAATTTAGGTACAAATCCATATTTCTCGGTCAAACTGCTGTTAACACACACACACACACACATAGTACACACACTCTTGACCAGCATGTGCGTCTCTCTGTGTGTGACGGCAGTTTCTCTATCGGAAGCTTTTTCATGCATTTTACATCTCCGACAATGAAGTCGCAAAAGATATGTGAACGATTCATGTTACTTACACAGGCATATTCCGGATATGTGTGTAAGACGTCCTGTAACGCATTGAGTTAAAAAATATACAGCAATGCTTTCCTATCTAGAGTGTAGCAGCAAAAAAAAATCAATCAAGGCTCACACAGGTCTTATCCCACATCTTGTGCTTTATTCTGTCACTAGCTTCACCACAGAAAATAACTTAATCCGTGCATGAGAGATAAGAAAAATGAAGCCGATCCGCGAATCGCAGCACATTTGATGATGACCAATCAGAGTCACTTGAAGTTTTTATATTAGCTGAGTAGCTGTATATAATCAAAGTGAGATTTATGAAAAAATAACATGATTTCCTTCAAGTCAAACATGAGCACACATTGCTTTGCATCTTAATAACACAACCAAGCCTTAAAATTACATTCTGGACCACCCTTTTAAAGCATCACTAAATTGTACTGGCACTGCTCTGTTCCTGAAGCACTGTTCCTAAAACACTGCTTTGAGAAATGTAGTGTCGTCATATTTCAAATACCTCAAGTAAAACGCCATTTGTTTTATTATTTTATTATTTTACAGTGTTCTTGTCTTTTTTTGTAAAATTCTTTCAGTTTAAGATCAAGTGTAAAAAAAAATATTGTAAAGACAACAATGAGCAAATAAGAAAAACTGTGTAAAAAAAAAATTAAATCTTTTCATCATATACTTTAATTAAACATTTCAAAGCTTGAAAGTATTGATTAAAATGGACAAAAAGTGTTTCTATGACCTTAAAATTAGTGGTAGTTTTGCCAGTGCTATTAAAAATGATTCACTGTCATGAAAGGAAAAATCAACCATACTTTGTTAGTGTAAATTCTTATATGTAGCCTTGTGATTTAAACAATTAAATCATTTAAATAATTTTATACTTTAAAAGGGCCATAAATCAGATTTTTTTCAAAAGTAATTAACTAGTACTCAGAGTAGTTTTTTTTAAAGAGTAGTTTGTAAATATTAGTATTATTTACTAAAACTTGTATTATTTTAGCAGTGTAATTGTATTATAACTTGAGTACAAATATTCTGTTCTTTTTCCATCTGTGAGAGAACATCAACAAATAAAATAAAAATAAAAATCACAAGCACATTTAGTGCAGGTTTATTATATTATTACTATATGATAAATTAATTATTTTACTATTATTATTATTATTATTATTAATGGTTTTTATTTGTGTAAATTGATAGATAGTTCCTATACAGTATTTTTATAATATGCTGAGAAGACATTTTAGGTTTTCAATACATTGCGTGTCAGTCTTGGTTTATTATATTCTTAATTATTAATATATTA